ATTAACCCAGATCTGTCCATGTGACTGTTAGTTCTATCACAACTTATTGTTTTTAGGAGTTTCTGTACCACCAGCATTAAACTAGCTGGCCTGTAATTGCTCAGCCTCGCCTTACTCACTTCTTTGAAGAAGGGCATACACTTCACAATTCTCTCGTCCTCTAGTACCCCTGGGTTTAAGACTGAAAGATTATTACCAATGCCTCCACAATTTCTACTCTCACTTCCTTCAGTATCCTTGGATGTAACACAGTTCCCAATGCCTTATCACCTTTAAGTATTGACAGTTTACTCCATATCTGCGACTTGTCAATTCTGAATCCTTCCAGGGACTCAATTTCCCCCTCTGTCACCATGATCTCAGTAACATCTGCTACTCTGAGAAGAAACAGGTGCAGAATATTCACTTAATATCTCAATCATACCCCTGTTTCCAGGTGTAAATCCCGATGTTTGTCCGTAATCAGGCCTACTCCTCCTTTTACAATCCTTTAACTATTTGTGTGCTTTTGGAAGATTTTGGGATTCCTATTTATGTTAGCTGCCACTCTTCCTTCATAATTACTTTTTGCTTATTTTTGAACCTTCCTTTGAACCTTCTGTATTCATTATGGTTCCCAACTGTAAGTTCTGACACCTGTTATAAGTATACTTTTTCTTCTTTATCTTAATTTCTCTCTGCCTTGTCACTCAGAGAGCTCTGGATTTATTTGCCATACCTTTCCCTTTTTAAGGGAATGTACCTTTACTATGCCAAAACCATCTTTTCCTTGTTGTTCAGCTACAGTTTCTCCCGTCAGTCTTTGGCCCCAGTCTATCTGACCCGGCTCCATTCTGGTCCTACTGAAATCAGCTCACCCCAGTTGACTTACAGTTAGTATTAGAGTTAGCTTTAGTTGTCATGTGTACGCAAGTAAAGGTACAGGAGAACAGTGAAATGCATGCAGTATGCACCCAGTCCAATGATATAGATGGCAATGCTAGACTTGTTCCTTGGAAATGAGGTGGGTCCAGAAGATCAAGTGTCAGTGGGAGAAACATTTAAGGCATAAGATTCAAATAATAGTGCAAACAAAGGGCAGACAATCCAGAGTAGGTGCCATCTCAGGTACAAAGTACCTAGATACTAAAATAGATTAGGTACAAAAATAGACAAATAAAGAGAAAAGCTAAAAGTTCCACATTACAGTTTTTCATGGTATAAATTAGGAAAATAATGAAATAAAGTTAAAAGATAAACATTACAGTCCTTCCTATAGCCTGCAGTCTCTCCTCGCTGTGGGCTTTCCACATGTGCTCTTGCTGTCCCCACACTGCAGGGTTCCAAATCTCTGACAGGCTGACTGCACCAGACCCCAGTCTGCCTGCCAACTCCTCTGGGTCCACAGCCCGCTGGCCGTGCCACTACCCCTCCCGGATCCGCTGGCTGTGCCACTACCCCCCCGGACCCGCTGGCCGTGCCACTACCCCTCCACCCCAGGACCCGCTGGCTGTGCCACTCCCCCCCCCCCGGACCCACTGGCTGTGCCACTAGCCCCCGGGCCCGCTGGCCATGCCACTAGCCCCCAGGCTCGCTGGCCATGCCACTACTCCTCCCCCCGCCCAGGCCCACTGGCCGTCCCACTCCCCCCGGACCCGCTGGCCATGCCACTACCTCTGGGCCCACTGGCCATCCCACTCCGCCCTGGGCCCACTGGCTGTCCCACTACCCCCTGGATCCGCTGGTCGTGCCACTACCTCCCGGGCCCGCTGGCTGTGCCACTACCTCCCGGGCCCGCTGGCTGTCCCACTCCCCCCCCGGGCCTGCTGGCTGCCCAGCTCTGCTTCAGGCCCTCAGCTGCCACAGCACCGCAGACAGGACAAGCTCCAGGCTGAGCCCAGACGCTGCCTACTTTATCGCCACCATCTTGGATAACAATTCCTACTCTGGATTGTCCATTGCTCACTTCCACTATTATCTTGAATCTTATGCCTTAAATGATCCTCCCAATGATACTTGATCTACTAGGGCCAGTTCATTCCCAAGAAACAAGTCTAGCATTGCTATCTTTATCATTGCACTGGATGTATACTGCTGTAGAAAATTCTCCTCTACATAATCTAGGAACTTTTGCCTCTCTGTGCCCTTTTACACTACCACTGTCACAGGGTATATTTTGATAACTAAAGTCATCCTTCATAATAATCTATAATATTTGTATCTCTCTGCAAATTCCTTGCAGATTTGTTCCAATAAATCCTTCCCACCAGTTGGTGGTCTGTAGACCACACTGAGCAATGAACTTGCGTCTTTTTTGGTTCCTTAGCTTGAGCCAAATTGGTTCTGTCCTTGTAGCCTCGGACACTCTCCTGCAGCGAAATGCCCTCATTAACCAACATCACCAGCCTTCCTTTATCTCTTCCTTTACTATCTTTGTTGAACCTACTATCCAGGAATATTTAACACAACATCCTGCTGTTCCTTTGAGCCACATGTATGTTACAGCCACATCATGATTTCACAAGGCAGTCTGTGGCTATAATTCACCAATCTTATTGACTATGCTCTGTGCAATCACAGATACTCGCCGTATCCCCGATTTTGAATGTTTTAAATCCTCTCTTTAAGCCAACTCCACCTACTAACTTACTATTCACTATTCTGGTGTGACCAGTCCCTTCCAGCATTTCGTGAATCCATGTAGTCCTGTCTGATATTCTCTCCTGGTTTCTGCCAGTTTAGTTTAGACCCTTCCCAACAAAGCTAACAATACGCCCCCTAAGAACTCTGTCCCAGCTCTGTTCAGGTGTAAACCATCCAACCTGTACACATGCCATCTACCCCAGAGCTAGTTCAGTACCTAAGGAATTTAAAGTCCTCCCTCCTGTGCTGTCTTTTCAACCATGTCTTCATCTGTCCTATTTCTGTACTTGTTTTTGCATGACACTGGGCATAACCCATAGTCTTTTTTTTTTACTATTGAGAAACTTCTTGCTAATTTTCTATCGAGCTCCTAAATTCTGACCACACCTCCCTTTCCTACCTACATCATTGATACTGACGAAGACCACAACCTCTGGCTGCTAACCCTCCCCTAGAGAGGATCCAGAAGCTGCACTATGATATCCAGCTCCAGGGAAGCAGCATATCATCTTGGAGTCACATCTGCAGCCACACAGATTCTTCTCTGTTCCCATCATTAAGAAATCCCCTCCATTACTGCTCTTCCACTCTTCTTCCCCCCCACTCCTCCACGCTCGCTGCACCACCCATAATGCCATAGGTTTGGCTCCTGCTGTAATTTCTAACATTGCCCTCGCCAGGATCCAGAATCATAAACATCTCAGCCTTTTGGCACACACTGGCCCTTGTCAGTCAGGGCGTTGAGTATAGAAATTGGGAAGTTATGTTGCAGTTGTACAGGACGTTGGTGAGGCCACACTTGGAGTATTGTGTTCAGTTTTGGTCACCTTTAGTTATTAAACTGGAAATGTGCAGAAGAAATTTACAAGGATGTTGCCAGGACTCAAGGGACTGAGTTATAGGAAGAGGTGGTATTCATATTGAATGATTTGCCAACGGAAATGCGGTGAGGCAGATACATTAGCAATATTTAAAAGGCGTTTGGACAAGTACATGGATAGGAAACGTTTAGAAAGATATGGGCCAAGTGCAGGGAAATGGGGTTAGCGCGGATGGACGTTTTGGTCGGCTTGGGCCAAAGGGCCTGTCTCCGTGCTGTAGGACTCTATGACTCCTGAATAAAAACTGAAAGAACTGCAGGTGCTGTAAATCAGAAGCAAAAATTGCTTTTCCAGCAATTTCTGGTTTTGTTTTGGAAGACACATGCCTGGTTGTCTTAAGATTATCTGGCGGTCACCCAGTCCCTATCTGCCTCCATGCCTCTACCTGCCTGTTCCTTTTCTGTTTGGTTTCCTTTGGGCAGAGGAAGTTAGAATTGCACCCCAGCCCCTTTCCTTGTATCAAATGTAGAAAAGCAAAGCGCTGAAGACAAGAGTTCTAGCACAAGCGAGCTAAAAAAAAGATTTGACTCCCCTGTGGCAGGGTAGCAGCCTGCAAGTTCATGCCTCTGATTAAAATCCTAAGTGCAGAATTACAGAGAAATGAACTGTGATTGGAGCTGGTTTAAATCAAACCTGTCTACACTCTGCTGTGTATCAAGTTTTTAATGCTGGCAGCTGGAACGTTTCAGTGTCATGGCAGGAGTACAGCGTTATTAGAGTGGGCAGCGTAGCTGTAATGGCAGGTCATTCTCCCAGAGCGAGGATCCCTAGCTGTATCCCAAGCTGTATCCCATTTTAAAAGTCATTTGAATTCTATGCACTCCTCTTCTGTACTCTGTGTTGGGCAAGGACAGTGTAAGCCAGTTCAATAATTGCATTTAATTAGTGGTGTGGTGGTAACGTCACTGCACTGGGAATCCAGAGGTACAAGCTAATGCTGTGAGAGCACAATTTCAAATCCTATTACAGCAGCTGGTACTGTTTTGATTTGATTAATAAATCTGCAATGAAAGATTGTCTCAGTGTCCTCTGAGCACTGCAGGCCAGGGCTGCTACCAGACCAATATATTCAGGCAAATGTGCCTGTCACCTGCCCCAAAACAGCAGCAGGTTACCCCAGTTTCCCAAATGGGGAAATCTGCCAAGAGGGCAGCTGACTGGCCTGACTCTGTTGAGGTCCGTAAGTAGTCATTAATTAACTATTTAAGCTCCTTAACTGGTGTCCCTAGAGTTGAGAAGGTCTCTGTTGGACCAAGCCAAACAATTATTTGCCCTTCAAACCACCTTCATCAGTACCTCCAGGGAAGAGGGAATTTCTCCCTTGGATTCAGTAGAAAGTTTTAAAAGCAAAATTATTAAATTATGGACTCTGTATTTTTAAAATATGAAAAAGTATGAACATTGGAGGTTTGTTTAAAGGATGACTGCATATTTAATGTTTGAACTTGGTGTCACGTTGACCAAATGTTTCCTTCATTTCCCTGTTTTTCTGCTTAGGGTTCAGCTGACTCTTACACCAGCCGTCCATCAGATTCCGACATCTCTCTAGAGGAGGACAGGGAGGCACTACGCAAGGAAGCTGAGCAACAGGCTTTGGCACAACTTGAGAAGGCAAAGGTAAGAGACTGGCACTCCCTCACCTGCCTTGCCTGACAGTGCTACCCAATCTCTTTATCATCGGGAACCCAACTCAAAGCTTGGACATTGCCACAACACGTCCGAGACCTGGGAGAGTTGGGCAGGGGCATTGGGAGTTAGTAAAGCAAGGAGTGTGGGGGACAGGAGCCCCCTGAGGGTGAGGGGGAGTGGGCAGTGTTATGTGGCGGTCTTTGCTGCCTCTGAGCTCGCATCCCCAAAACTTCAGCTTGTGATCCCACTTGAGATCCTGATGTTAAGCCCTGCTCTAGAAGAAAGACTTGTAGTCCCGATTCATCTGATAGGAGGAACACAGTGCAAGCTAAACCCTGAGATCTGAAATCATTTACAAGCATACAACTCTAGGGTGATGATTCAAGCTAATTAATTCAGTTGCTAAGTCCAGCTTACACAACCCTCTGCCTTTGGAACCCAGTTTGATTTGTTGATTTAACTATGTTTCTGCACAGAGCCTTCAGGTGTTTTTCTACATTGATGACCTTGTAGAAATTGTTCTTATTGTTGTACAATTCTAGGGAAGACTGTGTTAAAATGGCAGAATGACCTGGAGCCTGTGTTCATTGATGTTCATGTTATGTGGCCGCGTTATTTGATTTTCTTAGCTGGTGCCTGTTGTATCCATTTTCCTGGTTCTCTAGGCAGTAGACACGTGCTTTCCTGTCGTCTTCTCTATAGTTATGTATTACCACAGCAACATGAAAAACGGGAAGGAGTCGGCCATTCAGCCCCTCAAGTTTGCTTTGTCATTCACTAAGCTCATGGCTGACCATCACAAAGCCTCCACTCCTCTTTACTCCCAGCTCCTCACTACCCTCAACTCCATGATTTTCCAAAAAAACCTCTTTACCTGTCTTGATCAGACTTCAGGACAGCCCAACTTTCCAGTAAGGGGATGAAAATGGAGAAGTCAACCAGAATATTAATTGTGGGCACCCACTGAAGATATACTTGATTGAAAACTTCTCGTAATTTTGAAATCTTAAGGTAATTGCCAGGGTAAGGAGAAAAAATAATGTCTGAACTGAAAGCTCAATGACAACAAAAACCATTTACATTCATATAGCACTTTTTTGTCATAGGGAAAGTACTTCACAGGAGGGTCATCCAACAAAACTTGCCATCGAGGTAAAGTAACCAATTTTAGGGCAAGCAACCAAGAACATTAATGAAGATTTTAAGGAGTGTCTTAAAAGAGGAAAGAGGTTTCATGGAAAGAAATTCCAGAACTGGGGGCTCAGGCAGCTGAAGATCTGGCCACCATGATATCAACAATGCACAAAAGGCCAAAATTGAAGTAGCCTGGAGATGTCGGAATGCTGAAGGAAGGGACTGAAGTAGTAACCACTTTCCATTTTGCTTGTCTGGTCCCACAAGCAAGGTAAATTATCTTTTGCTTAAAATGGTGGCATGTCCAGGAAATGGACCTTCAACTGGAACAATGATGTTTAAAGTCCTCACTACAGTTGTTGATATCAGTGGTGGAGTTCAATGATGTGCATAATAGTTGACAAGACAATACTTTCAGATAGACACAAGGAGCAGAACAAGAGGGGATAGTTGGTCAACTGACTGATGTAGTTAGGCCTTTTACCTCTGGGACTGTGGTTCACATCTAACCTGGATCTATGCAGTGAACATCATTGGCTCAATCTTAACTCATTTTAACACGCAATTGAAATTGTGTCCAAGCCAGCTGTAAGGGTTCAAAGTGAAATAATTTTTGGGTTGTCTCAATCAATTTGCTAATTATCCTGGCTCTACGCCACCACATTGACTGTAATTTGTTACGTTAGACTCCTGTTCAAGCATGTCCAATCTGTAAATAATTTTCACCGTCGTCTCTCAGGTGGCCATTTCAGGATCCGCACGGACTTTCACAGATCTGACCGTCTGTGTTGCCCCCGTGAAGCTGGTTGAGGGGGGGTTACGCAGCTGTATCACCTCCGCCTCCTTCTGGGCTAGTTGGACATTGCAGATTTGTTGTAGATGGTCCCATGCTGAACCAAGCTTTCACAATAATCAGTTAGCAGCATTGTTATCCCAAGATAAGAGACATGCAGTGCAAGGGCTTGTCAAACTTTTATCCCGGAAGACTTTGTCTCATTTGCACTAACCATCTTGATGTCAGTTGCTCTGAAATAGTTGCCCATAAAAAAAATCTACTGGGAAATTCCTGCATTAGTTGACATGGGAGACACAACCTGTCCAACTGAGTTACATTTCCTGGAGGGTGGTCTCCATGCTGTTGAGCTCAGCATGATGGACAACCTCAATATTTCTCTCACTGACTATGAATTGGCTCAGAGGCCCAAGGATCAGAGTACTCTTCTGAATGTTGGTGGGTTGCAACGCGGTGTTTTAAGCTGGCTGAACCAAAATTGTCTGTGGATGCCGAACCTGAAGTGGAAAAGGCCCATTCCCCAACCATGTCATCACTCACTTCCAACAGCAAGACAAATATTGTGAGAAGCAGGCATTATTGATTTCAGACAAAGGATGCCAACAGCTGACATGAAGGACACCGAATGTCCAAAGTTAATTAAAGTTATCACGTGATGGAACTGATGTTAGCCCTTGATGGACTCTGTGATGTAAGGTGACATTTTCTCATAACGTTTGAGCAGTCTTGTTGAAACCAGTAACAAACAGTTACACTGGACTCATTTAGTCAGTAGCTAATGGTGTCACATGAAGGTGACAGGGTCGGACCTAGGCTTGTGAGGTGGAGCCATTTGTACAGGTCAACTACAAGAGCTGTCATTGCATCAAGCACAGAGATTGTAGTCTGCCATTCCTCTAATAAACTCTTCGCTGCTTTGCGTTTGTTCTTGTACCATTTTAATCTCCTATCAATGTCCACCTTCTGGTCCTTGCTTGATGCACTGAGTGTTGACATATTCCAGAAGTCTGAGCTTGGATTCGATCCCAGACAATAGGATAAAAAGCTGTGGTGTTTGACTGAGGACTGGGTAGTGTACATAGTTACAGGACTGTCAATTTATCACATGGAACTGGCTTTGAATTCAACCCGACCTGATCAGATTAGAGTCTTGTCCTTCCATTTGCTGTAAAGGGTTTTATGAGCAATTAGATTAGGTGGGTTATAGGGGAATGGGTCTGGGTGGGATGCTGTGAGGGTCGATGTGGACTTGTTGGGCGGAAGGGCCTGTTTCCACCCTGTAGGGATTCTATGATCTATGATGATGAAGTCTGCACAGTCCCAATTGTTAGTGTGTGCAGGAACACAATCCGATCTGCCAAAACCTGGTACTAAACTTGTTGCCTTTTATATCTTGGCCCTCACTTGGAAGTGGTCCAAATAACAATATGATCAAGAACTCGTGATTGTGGATGTGAAATACTGCTCTATCATTATCAACTTGAACAGCCGTCATATCCTGAAATCTTTCTTTTAAAGGGTATTTTATGTTAATTGTCTCAGTAACTGAGCATCCTACAGCATCTTTCACTGAACTCCGTTATGTTTTAGACCAAGCCTGTTGCATTTGCCGTTCGAACAAATGTTGGCTACAATCCCACCCAGAACGATGAAGTCCCTGTGCAAGGCATGGCCATTTCCTTCGAGTCCAAAGACTTTCTACATATCAAAGAAGTAAGTACTCAGCTCTTTGTAATGTATCTTTGCAAACATTTAAGCATGGGTACTCATGTGTCCTTATGCATCTAAATGAGTCATTTTAGGGGAAGCTAACTCAGAAAAATATTTCAGATGTGCTAGAACAACAGGTCAAGAAGAAACAAATTTTAGATTGTGGAGAACAAGATTAATAAGATGTCAAAGCAGAATGTGCTGGAGAAACTCAGCCAGTCTGGCAGCATATGTGGACAGAGAAAGAGTTACCATTTCCAGTCAGATATGGCACTTCTTTTGAACTCAATTTGGACCTGAGATGTAAAGTCTGCTGCCAAATCTGCTAAGTTTCTTTTATTATATCAGATCTCCAGTATCCACACTATTTTGCTTTTCGTAATCAGATGTCGATTGCACAGAGGCCAGTGAGCTGGTGGATTATATTACCAGAATAGTAAATAGCGCAGGACACACTACACATGCTGTATTGGGAAGAGGGAAAGGTTGGCAGTCAGACAAAGGGCCACACAAGACCTAATGTCTTTTGTGAAATCTAATTTGTGGTTTTATTCTCCTACTTCTTTTTAAATGTGTAAAAACATTGGTTAAAGAGAACAAAAAAGCTAAATGGTCAGCAAAAGTGTCACAGCACTGTTGTAGCTAGAAATGATACAGGAACAGAATGAACCAGAACAAGTACACAGGCCAGACACAGAGGGTCAATGACTGAGTCACTGATGGTGACAAAACCAGGCTTCCTTCTATTCCAGTACAGTGCCGGCTCTATAAGACCTTATCCAGAAGGATAAGGGCAACCAATGCATGATTCAGACTGAGAAACATGAGGGTATGGGTCTGCTTTATGATATTTTCCCTGAGCTTAATTTAGTGATCGAGGATGTGAACTTTAAGAGGGAATGAAATACATTGATTAGAAAAGAGTCTGGAGGTAAGAAACAACCAAAGGATAAAAGTTAGTTATAGTGTCATAGAGATGTACAGCACGAAAACAGATCCTTCGGTCCAACTCGCCCATGCTGACCAGATATCCTAATAAATCTAGTCCCATTTGCCATCATTTGGCCCATATCCCCCTAAACCCTTCTATTCATATACTCATCTAGATGCCTTTTAAATGTTGTAATTGTACCTACCTCCACCACTTCCTCTGGCAGCCCATTCCATACACACACCACCCTCTGCATGAAAATGTTATCATAGAATCCCTACAGTGTGGAAATTGGCCCTTTGGCCCAACAAGTCCACACTGACTCTCAGAGCATCCCACCCAGACCCATCCCCCTATAACCCACTGAATCTACACGTCCCTGAATACTATGGGCAATTTAGCATGACCAATCCACCTAGCCTGCACATCTTTGGACTGTGGGAGGAAACCCACGCAGACACAGGGAGAATATGAAAACTCCACACAGACAGTCGCCCAAGAGTGGAATCAAACCCAGGTCCCTGGCGTTGTGAGGCAGCAGTGCTAACCACTGACCCACTGTGCCACCCTCTAGTTTTGGACTGTCCTACCCTAGGGCCTTGGCTATTCATCCTACCCATGCTCCATCTGGTAACCAATCAAAGTGTTTCCACTGTTGTCTAAGGTTTTTCCCACCACATTAACTTGATGATTTACTTCCCAATGGAGCAGAAGGGGAAACATAGCGATTGTTGAAGCTTTTCTTCATTTTTCCCCAGAAATATAACAATGACTGGTGGATAGGACGACTGGTGAAAGAAGGATGCGAGGTTGGATTTATTCCAAGCCCAGTAAAGTTGGAGAATATCAGACTACAACAGGAGCAGAAGATGAGACAAGGACGACTTTCAAGGTCTGACCAAGACTTGATTACACATCCTCACTGCCAGCTATTCATAAAGTGCCTTCATTAACCTGTTACCAGGCTGCTCTGTTGGGTCAGCTATTACACTGAGCTGTATTCCTAGTTTGGAAATTCTCTTTGGATTTAGGGATTCATGTTGCAGGAGGCTGCACCTTCAGCTCAGGTGGGGTGAACTTACAGGACCATAGCATCATGAAATTCCTACAATTTGGAAAGAGGCCATTTGGCCAGTCGAGTCTGCACCAACTCTCCAAAAAGCATCCCATCCAGACTCAGACCCCCACCCCCTCACCCCATATTTCCCACGGCTAATCCGCCTAGCCTGCACATGCCTAGATGCTACAGGGCAATTTAGCATGCCCATCCACCTAACAGGAGCACCTGTCAGAAACCCACATAGACTTGGGAAGAACATGTAAACTCCACATAGACAGTCGCCTGAGGGTGGAATCAAACCCCTGTCCCTGGCGCTGTGAGGCAGCAGTACTAACCACTGAGCCACCATGCCACCTAGCCCCTAGCTAACCCCTTGCACTTTCTAATGTCACTGATTTATTTTCCTTTTGAAACTTTACTTTAGCAAATCTGGTGGAAACTCCAGTTCTAGTTTAGGAGATGTTCCAGGAACCAGGAGACCCACACCTCCTGCAACTGGTAAGTGTCAAACATCTTTCTTTTTTATCTCTCATTCTGAACCTTGTTTTACTCAAAAGAGCATTCTGTTCATCAAGGCTGTTTCACTCTTCAGCCGCATGTTTTGGATGCCCAAGGTAAAGTTTAAGCCCCAGTCAAAGAAAAATACAAAACATTTATGTATATACAACATCTCCATTATTCAAGGGAGGCGAAAATTAATTCTAAAAACAAACTTTAAAAGCGGTAAAATAAAATAAAAGATAAAATGTGTAAGTACAAAGCACCTGAAAAGAAATGGAACGAACTTACAGAATAGAGATATGCTGGAGTTAAGTTTAATGAGTCATGATTTAAATGTGAAAGTTCTTTCTGTTTTAGAGGGTGAGAGAGCTCCTGCAGATTTATCATTTTCTGGCTGTACTTTGCAGTGGGGTTGATGATGGCATAATTGCAATGCTTCTGGGCTCGTGTTCCACAATCCCAGATTAACAGTCTGGAGACATATGTTCAAATCCCACCACAACAGCTGGGAGAGTTTCCATTCTTATACAGTCCTTAAGGCTGTAAGGGCAACCAATGCATGACTCAATTAATAAAACTAAATTTTTTTGTTAAAGCTTATCATAGTAATGAGCGACCGTGAAACTATCACCAATTGTTGTAAAAAGTCTGTCTGGTTCAGGAATGTACTTTTAGAGAAGGCAATCGTCCGTCCTTAAAATGAAATGAAGAATTGTGGATTTTTAGAATCCCTACAGTGTGGAAACCAGCCACTTGGGCCCATAATGACCCTCCCCAGAGCATCCAACCCAGACCCACCCCATCCCTGTAACCTGGCATTTCCCATGGCTAATCGACTTAACCTGCACATCTTTGGACTATGGGAGGAAAGCTCTTTCAGGTGCAGGGGGAAAACATACACACTCCACACAGACAGTCGCCCAAGGCTGGAATTGAACCCAGGTCCCTGGCGCTGTGAGCCACTATAGATGCCGGAGATATGAAGCATAAACAGAAATTGCTCGAGAAACCCAGCAGATCTGGCAGTATCTGTGGAGAGAGAAAGGAGAATTAACGTTTTGAGCCCAGCAGAAGAAGGGTCACTGGACTTGAAACCTTAACTTTGGAATCATCGATCCTTACTGAGTTAGGCCAATATGAGATGCCAGACCCACACGCATGTGGTCAATTTTTAACTGCCCTTTGAAAGGGCACCACTTAATTCAAGGCCAATTAAGGGATAGTTGCTGCATGCCCTGCCTTTCAAAGGGAGTGAAAAGTTCTCCCTCTGCACCTAATCCATGCAGTATGACACATGAATCCCCTTAAAAATAAGATGGATCAGCAACAACTGAAATGTTAATACTGTGCAGTAGGTTTACTTTCAGGTGTAAGTACAGATCCCAATATGCCAGTGCTTTGGCTGATGAAAGTAGCAGCCTAGCCTTTCTGCATTATGTAAGATTGCACATAAAGTGTAAAAACAGGCCATTTGGCCCAAGGAATCCATGCATGTGTTTTCGTTCCATTTGAACTCCATCTTGAGCTCCACTCCCAGCATTGTGGCATCCACTCGGGTGAAGAAGATCCTGTTAATTTCCTGTTGGATTTCTTGATGACTATCTCATATCAATAGTCTCTGTATCCACTTCATCAACATCTTCCTAAGTTTGAAGAACTCTCTTAGATCACCTTTCAGCCTTCAGTAAGATCCTCAAAATGATGATGCGCCCTTTAAATATGAATATTTCTGGCAGCTCAGACAGTAGACCAAAGCTGATTGATATGAGGATAGCCATGTTTCAGGCTATGAGTACTCGATTGCTCTTGGCTCAGCAGCCTGGAGGATGGAACGTTGGTCAAATTTAGATGGAGACTGGGAAGAAGTGACTCCTACCTAAAAAACACAACACAAACTGCAACAGTTCTGTAATGTTAATGGGCAGATAATTAACATGTTAAGAAGGCATTTAAAGTACAGAAATTTACATTCACTGTGGTGTTATATTCTAGAATCCCACTTGTTGAAGGATAGAACTGGAGCCAATCCTTATTCAATTTTATATTTTTTAAGAGTTTAGCATTACAAACATACATGTCCTAACTTAACAGTTTCCGTCTGTGCCTACTTAAAGGAATTTAAGTTAATACAGCTCAACTGTATACAGTTAGACACAACTAACAACCAGATCACAAGTGTCAGAGATAGTAAGAACTGCA